ACATGGTCTCTACATGCCGGGTTTATTCAGCTATTACATGCTGATGCCAATACCTATACTAGAGTTTGGTCATGTTTTGTTTGTTTTTTTTTTTTTGATAAAGTTAACATTGTATTGCTGTAAGACCGAGTACAAGTGGAGGAGGAAAGAGAGGACCTCGAGCACCCATGAGACGGGTATCTCGGTCAAAAAATAGGTCCCAAGACCCTATACAAAAAATGGCCTAGTCTACTGCCAGAGTACAAAAAATAGTGTAGCAAAAAAAGTGGCTTATAAGAACGCCCGAGTACAAGTAAAAGAGTAGGCTAACTACAGTTCTAGGAGCCCTCTGTGGTCCAAAGCAAAAAAGGAGATGGACCGGTCGGGGTCTTCCGCAAATGCTCGTGCTCTGTCTTTAGCTAGAAGATCGGCGAGCTCGTTCGACGTCCGCCAAGTATGCCTCCATAAGACATTGATATCACTGCATGTGGTGGATTTCGTAAAAAGTCCTTGAGAGGTACCAAGGAGGGGGGGAGGTGCTTGCTGCCCAAGAGATGATGTTTTGGGCGTCTCCTTCCACCACAAAAAGTTGACCCCATGAGGGGTTGAATCTTTTGAGGCCTAACAGAAGAGCCAAGGCTTCAGCGAACTGGGAATCTCCTTGTCCCACATTTACCGAGTAGGTGACGAGGATATTGCTATTGTGATCACGTAATGCCCCTCCTGCCCCTGAAGGCCCTGGGTTCCCTAGCGAACAACCATCAAAGTTGAGTTTGACTGCGTTTTCTTGAGGGGCCTGCCAGTTGTGAGGTCTTTGAATCTTGTGAGATTGGAGGTGCATGATATTCTCCCACTTACTGAGGAAAGTGTTAGAGGGGATCCCTACAAAGTCTCTGTGGGTAGAAGCCCAAAAGGTTACTAGGGAAGTAACCTTGTGGAAGAGCACATGAACATCGTTTTTGGGGCCTTGGAACACCCTCTCATTCCTTTCTATCCATATAACCCATATGGTGGCAGCGATTGCTGACTTCCATAGAGTTATGCCGGCCATTGGCCAATGGTAACCAGAATAGGAGGAGGTGAGTGCCTTAACCGAGGGTGGGAGGACCCATTGAATATGGAACAGCTGAAGAATACGGCTCCATAGATTGAAAGCCTGGCTGCAATGTAGGAAAAGGTGAGGGTTCATCTCTTCCTCTTGCAGGCACAAAGCGCATCTATTAGGAAGTGGAAGGCCTCTTTTTTGAAGCTGGTCGACCGTGAGAGCCTGTTGGCAGCAGGCTATCCAATTGAACGTTTGGACTTTTGGAGAGGCTAAGGTTGACCAGACTTTGGAAAGAGTAGAAATGGGGTTCAGGGGGTAAGTAGGGGGTTGAATACGTTTGTTGTAGAAAGAGGCAACTGAGAACTTACCGGATGGGGAGAGGGTCTAAACCAGAGAATCAGTCCCTGATGGAGATAAGAAGTTTGGTCATCTTTTGTTATTCTTTAGAATGTTCTCGTTAAATATTTTGACTTTTGTGCCTTCATTAGTGCCATTGTTTTGGCTTGTATTTCTTTAGTTGTTATAGAACGTCTGTTTTAAACCCTAGACTCTTCGAACTAGCATTTATTGCTTATAATTATAACTTATTGAGTTGTAGAAAGGCTTGTATGGATGCTGTTCCCATTTGTCATGCCTTTTTATGTGATCTAGAATAGTTTTAGTGTGATTTTCTTATGCCATATCTTACCCCCTCTAGGTGTGGTTCATACCTAAAGTGCCATCATTTTGTGAGTGAAAAAAATGGAAAATAATAGTTTTCACACTCTATGTTATGAAACCTAAAATCAAAATTGACGTGAACATGTGGTGACAAAACTGAAAGAAGTGGCAATATAGATTCACTCTAGAGAGGGGTGTGGATGAGGTTCCTGCAGATTCCTGGAATTCTACTGGACTAGAGTGAATTCTTTTAGATTTCAAGATCAGCCATCATATGATGAGTTCAATCAGATTAGGGGGACAACCCACATATGGAAAGAGGGGGAGAACCTCCTACATATATAGGCTCTAGGGCTATGAGTCCCACTCAGATTAGGAGTTCAACATTAATTAGGATTTTATTAATTGATCTGTTAAGTGAGAGATAAGATTTAATTTGCGTCATCCATCTCCAAGATCATCCATCATGATCTAGAGTGAATATGTAGGAACCTTATCCTTGAGATTTGACCCGTATACACTTTTAATTTATCTAGAACTTTGACCAGTCAAAACTTATCTTCTATCTACACTAATCTAGGATCATCTAGAAATCCTATTCTCTCAAAAAGAGATAATTAGGAGTTCAAATAATTTAAATTTGGTCAAAGATAACTGATAACAAGAAAATCACCAAGATAATTTTTTAAAGAGTATTTTATTGGATCAAATAATATTTTCACCAAGAAAATATTCCATATAGAATACTATTACTAAAAGAGAATATGTGCCACATAAAAGAGGGCATCCCATAGAAAGGGACGTGTGGTCCCTAGTGGGGTCCACGTGAAACCCCTAGTGGGGCCACACGTGTGGGGCTGGGCCCTTAGCCCCTCCACTTGGGTCCCACACAGTTTTATAAATTTTTCAGAATGCCCATGCAATTTTAGAAATTCCAGGAAGACCCTTTTAGGTTTTTAAACATTTAAAATTCGTTTTTAAAATTCTGAAAATTTCAAAAAATTCATAGTAACGTACGTTTAGTTGAAAACAATATTTCTGGAGTTCTACAAAATCTAAAACACATAGAAATAAAATTTAGAAGTGAATAGATACCTAATGAGTAAAAAACAAATAACTATCGGGGCAATCCATTCGTGCTAAGATCCATGATCCACAACTATCTTCTCAAGCTAACCCAATGGGACCCACGACCCACAATCAAGTGCAGGGACTCATGATTGGCCTCATCAAAGTTAGTTATTAAAAGTGGAACCATAGTCCGAGTATTTGGATTACAGGTTCCACCCTAAGAGCAAGTCAGATGCACACACAATGGAAGGGGATGCTTTCTTTATGCACATGTACATGTGTCCCTCTATATATTATATGGTCACTTTCCAAAATGCATTTGTCATATGTATATGCCATGCAGAAGTTTTGTTGAGGATTTGACCCTTCTTCCTCACACAGGAGATTACAGCTCTTTTAGCCTGCAATTGTCCTTGGGCATCTCTTTGACCCCAAAAAAGGGATAGCCCACAATAAACCCTCAACGGTTGTGCCACATCCCCAGGGCTGGGATCTTAGCCCCTTTACGTGGACCGCTCACAATTTTATAAATTTTTTAAAATTCCCATTCAATTTTTAAAATTTCAGGAAGACCCTTTTATGGTTTTTACACATTTAAAATTCATTTTTAAAATTATGAAAATTTCCAAAAATCCATAGTAATGTATTTTTAGATGAAAACAATATTTTTGGGGTTTGACAAAAATCTAAAACACAGAAAAGTATAGTAAAGAAGTGCATAGAGTACCTAATGGGTCATGCAAATGCGAATATCAGGGCACTCCATCAGTGCCAAGATTCATGATCCACGACTATCTTCTCAAGCTAGCCTAACGGGACCCATAACCCACAGTCAAGTGCAGGGGCTTATGATTGACCTAATAAAGTTTGCCACTAAACAATGGAACCATAGTCCTAGTATTTGGAATATAGGTTCCCCCCTAAGAGCATGTTAAATGCGCACACAATGCAAATGGACACTCTTTCTGCACATGTACACGTGTCCCTTTATATAGGGTTGCTTTCCAAAATGCGGCACATGCCATGCTGAAGTTTTGTTGAGCATATGTCCCTCTCTCTCGTAATTTCTTCCTCTCACACAGGAGACCACACAACTCTTTTGGCCTACAAACAATGTCTCTGGGCATCTCTCTTACCTCAAATAAAGAATGACCCACAGAAAACCCTCAACAGCTCTGCCACATGCCTAGAGATAAGGGTTTAAACATGGCCCGGGATATAGACAGCCCAACCCTAGGTTTGCATCCACCGTACACTTCCACTGAAGTGTTATAAATCACTATATATAATTTTATTTACAAGCTCTGTTAGGCCTTTGAAGGCCACAAACCCGAACAAAAACATTCTTTAACTTGCTACATTTTAAACTTTTAAGAAATTTTCAAGAATATTTTACCCTCGACATAATGCCCCATAAGGTTGCATTAGAGATGATTTTAAAATCTTTTCCTACTTTTTCTACATCGAGAGAGGACTCTATCCATATCATAATGTATGTCATCTCTTTTAGAGGAAATTTGGGAAAGGCATATGTGATCTATACCTTTTGCATGTAAGAAGAATTGATGTTTATTGAATGTTCACATCTTCCTTCCCCCCCCTCCCCCCCCCAAAAAAAAAAAAAATGTTGAAGATAAGTTTAATATTAAGTGGGAGAATTTTTTTAAAATATATAGCATATTCAGTTTTTCTTAGATTTTTATGATTGTTAGAATGTTTTTATAATATTTTTATCAATTAAAAATTAGTTGTATGGGCTTGTCTGGCGGTACTGATTACTGAAACTTTGGCCCAAAGTACTATACTTTACGGGCATGTACTAGACTCTGTCACCTATTTGGTATATCACACTACTTTTTGGTTTTTAGTGATTGTCTGAATTGAAGGAGAATCGATGGGAGGCCAGGGAAGGTGATGAAAGGGGTGATCTGTTGCGAATAATTGTCTTTTGCACCCAGGCTAATGTATGACATTTGGTTGGTTGAAGTTTGAAGACTTGAATGCTTATTTTTTTCCCTCTCCTCATACATTTGCATAAGGCTGAAACCGAATAGCTGGATTGCCAATAGTATGTGGCATTGCACAATTGAGTGGACAATGTCCTGGATGCCAACAATTTTTGCAGGGCTCAGTACATGTGAACTCGCATAATAATGCAAGATGCCTGTGTTTTTTACGGAAGAAAGAAACATTGGTCTTTTGTTCTAAGAAACATGCCGCTTATACATATTTTCCATGTTTTCAGGTGATATCCATGGTCAGTATACTGACCTTCTCCGATTGTTTGAGTATGGTGGTTTTCCTCCTGCAGCAAACTATCTATTTCTGGGTGATTATGTAGACCGTGGTAAACACAGCATAGAGACCATATGCTTACTCCTGGCTTACAAAATCAAATTCCCAGAAAACTTCTTCCTTTTGAGAGGGAACCATGAGTGTGCTTCAATTAATCGAATCTACGGCTTCTATGACGAGTGCAAGCGGCGATTCAATGTTCGCCTCTGGAAGATATTCACTGATTGCTTCAACTGCCTTCCTGTGGCTGCACTCATTGACGAGAAGATCCTCTGCATGCATGGAGGACTTTCACCAGACATGAATAGCTTGGATCAGGTTCGCAACATTGCTCGCCCTGTTGACGTGCCTGACCAGGGCCTCCTTTGTGATTTGCTTTGGGCTGATCCTGACAAAGAAATTGAGGGCTGGGGTGAAAATGACAGAGGTGTTTCGTACACATTTGGGGCTGACAAGGTTGCCGAGTTCTTGAACAAGCATGACCTTGATCTCATCTGCCGTGCCCACCAGGTAGACTGACTGTATATGTATTTTGAGCTAGTTAGCTTTGACTTCGTTTAAAAGATTAACAACTTTGATATGCATTGCTGCTTATCTCTTGCTATAGTGAGTTCTGATGCCAATAGAACTCTGAAATTTTGTTTTAACTGTGAGAGCTTAAGTAGGTTGTGGAAGATGGGTATGAGTTTTTTGCAAAGAGGCAGCTTGTGACCATATTTTCGGCACCTAACTATTGTGGGGAGTTTGACAATGCGGGTGCTATGATGAGTGTTGATGAGAGTTTGATGTGCTCATTTCAAATCCTAAAGCCAACCGAGAAAAAGGGAAAGATGGGATTTAGTAACAACACATCAAAACCAGGGACGCCACCACGAAAGGTAAGTAGCATGGCATGGCTTGCAGAGTATTTTTTCCTTAGGTAAATCTAGATAAAGGCAGCTATTCTGATTGCTATTTCCAAAATGGTGCTGTTTTTAACAAATTGCCATAACATTAGTTATTTTCTAAATTTGGTCAAACGATCGTATCGATGTTAAATAATGAACGTAAATATGCCAAATAATCAAAACTCCTTCAAATTCTCTAGCATTTGCTCGCTTATTTTTATAAGTAACATTATATACGTTCCACCTATATCATTACATTGGTAAGTGGAGAAAAGCATTACATGTGCGGTAGTTTTGTTTTAAAAATAGGGGCCTGATCAGCTGCCCACTATTGTAAGTTAATTTGATTGCAAAATTTTGTCAAATTGTATATTTCTTCAAATTCTAATTAGCCGAATGGCGATTTGGTCCGTTGTCATTTGCTCTCTATGGGTGTTTGATTTGTTACAATTTGAATTATAAATTGTTTTGTGATGTGATGGTCGGTTCAAAATTGATTTTTTGGGCACTAATAATGTCCTTCATGCATCGTAGTGTGAATTAATCCTGGTAACCATGCAGGTTAATACAAAATAGTTACTACTAATGGTCACAGCTCACCAACATTTTCAGCTGTTTTTATTGATGGTGCTTAGGGTGGCAAGGGATGATTGGCAGTTCAGTGTGACATGCAATTGGGATTCGAGCTACCACATACAGTCAGTTGTGGAAAGACGGCACGGTTCGGGGATGATGAGATCCTGTCTGCCTACGTCAATACTGGCCATGGGCATTTTGGCATTTACTTATAATAGCACTGTCCTTGTTTTATTATGACTGTAAAATATGCATGATTCCTTGAGAACAAGGGATGTCTCTGAGGGCCCTCTCGTGAATTGTCTTTAAAGATGAGAAGGCATAGAAACATAAAGCAAATCTGAAACAGGTAAAGGGATCTTAAGCTAAAATAGACAAAAACTGATTGGTGTACTTTGGTTGCCATTAACTTGCTGGTAAGTGTATGAGACGGTTAATTACACAGAGCTCTCTTTTTAAGATTGTGTTATCTTTGTTAAGGATGTGCTGACCTATTTGGCTGCTGGCACGCAAAGGTAGCATGAGAAAATGAGATCCAGCCCTCTTCCTGGTTTCATTGTAAATTGAGTTTGGTACAATGCTCTTTGCATCAATTTTCAAAAAACAGGATGCTCTTTATATTACAGTACATATTATATCAGAATCACATAAGAGATTTCAAAGCGGGTGTCATTAACAATGAACCTTGTTCGGATGTTCTGGATAGCAATAAAGATGCTAGAGTGTCTCCGGAATGGATGATTTGCCAGCTTAGCCTGTAATTACAGGCAATTCGACCCTAGCTTATCCGCAAAACAAACCCCAATAGCTGGTTATCAGATAAGTGGTTAAAGCAATAGTATAACACTTTACCACCAATGCCAAAATTTGGGTTGTAATATCTCGTGTTTGCTATGTTTATTGCTCGTCTCAATGTTTTGTATGAGTAGTTTTTATCATTAGATAGTAGGATAGACTCTTGAAAGGAGTTTCCTACACTTTTAGCCTAACAAAACCTGCTAGAGTAGTACTGTTTCTATAAATTCCGTCGAAGTACCTTCACTTGTACTTGCTAGTCATCAAAAGCAGACCTGACAAGTTGATTTGACTGTTATGACCGCTGATTGGTACTTCAGCCCATTCAGTCTCTTGCAAAATTAGATTTGATAAAACCCCATAATTGGGTTGTGGATAAATCTTAGATCTGCTAGGGGTGGCAATGGACCCCGACTCGACTCAGGACCCGCTTGGTATACTCGAATGAGTCTAGGTATGGGTCCAACATTTGGACCCGGCGGGTCGCGTCCGGGTCCAAAACCTAGACCTGAACTCTATTCGGGGGCGCGTCTGGGTCTGGGTTCGGGTTCAGTTGGATCCGTTCTGTACTTGTAAACTGTTTAAGATAAAATACTTCAAGCCCTATTCATTTGGGTGTATTAAGGATTGTATACTATAAGAAATCATAATCTTTAGCTATTAACAATAAATAAGACGGCTTGAAATCTAATGGTGGGTTTAGACTTTGTCGCCAATTATTTGGGTATATGATGGTAAAGAAAAGGCAAAAAAAAAAGAAAAAAGGGAGCTCACAGTGAGGTTGGCAATGGACCCGATTAGACCCTATGGGTACGGGTATGGGTCTCGAATACATTCGGGTTTGGGTTTGGGTCCAGTTGGATTTGACCCATACCCGATCTATTGCCACCCCTAAGATCGGCTAATGTGTTGAAAACTTGATCTTTATTAAAAATGCTTAATCAATCAATTCAATTTTAAAGCCTGCTCGAATGTCTTTTTTTTTTTTTTTAAACGGTAATGTACGACTTATCATTAATTCAAATGTAAAATACTAGAAGTTCAAGCAAAGATACAAGATTATAGAAATGAAGTAACCAACAGAGAGGGAGTATAAACTCCTTTGGCAAGAACATCGACATCTTCATTTGCCTCTATAACAATGTTGGACCGTTGCCGTAGAGGTTTATAAAATATCCCAAATTTGATGAAAAATAGTCGTTAATTTCCAAGGAATATGAGTCTTTCTTTTACTTTAGGCAGTGACATTTGTCGAGTCTCTTTTGATAATCCAGCCCCCTTCCAAAGTGCATAACAATTTCAAACCTTCTAATAAACCTCGTACTTCCGCTCCTGTTGTCATACCATAAGGACCCGAGTAAGAAAATATAATGTGACCCAAATTTTTTCTGATGAGACCACCATAGCTAGCTGGTCCTGGATTGCCAAGTGAACTTCCATCAAAATTAAGTTTGAAGGAATTCACAGGTGGTGGTATCCAAACAACTCACTACGAGTGTTGGTGGTAACACCCATAGTCACAACTGCCAAGGGATTGCTAATGATAATATTTTTAGGGATAAAGCCACGATCCTTATGTGTAAGGAACCAATCAGCTGCAACTGTCAAAATATTCGATTGTAATGTAGACAGATCTGTACCTATATTATCAAATGCTCTTTTATTTCTATCCTTCCATACACTCCAAAAAAGGCTATCCCATACAGATCTCTAAAGAATAGTTCCCATCTTTGAAATATCGGGTGTGAACCATTGGTCAAGAAGAGTTATGACATTATGGGGCAAAGGTTAGATCTTCGAAGAATATTTCCCATATTTGAAATATCGGGCGCGATCCATTGGTGAAGAAGAACCTTGACATTTTGGGGCAAAGGTAATGACAGATTGAAGTACTACCGAACCCAATCTCAAATATGTGTAACAAAAGGGCATGAGAGGAAAAGATGCTGTGAAGTTTCATCATGGTCTTTGCATAGGATATATACATTGGTGATGATAAACCTCTTATTTATCAAGTTGTCAACAGTTGTTAATTTATCTTGGCGCTGGATCCATAAGCTGCACTTTAAGAGGCAAATGTAATTTCTTAATCTTGAACAAACCAGCATCCAACTCTTTCAAATGATCAGAAAATAATAGATTGTAAGTTGACTTAACCAAAAAATCTCCCTAAGGGGTAAAATCCCAAATAAAGCTATCAATCCATATTTGGAGTCAAATATGTGTTATTAAATAATTCCAATAATATTTGATACTTCCCAATGAATGTGTCTGTACCTCTCTTGTACCTGCAAAGAATGTACCAAACAATATTATAAACATCCCTACTAGCCTCCTTGACAGATTCTATCGGGTTTAAAGCTTTTGAGAAAACCTTAGGGAAAAGGAATATCAACGGGTCATCTCCAATCCATTTGTCAAACTAAAAAAGAGTGGATTTTCCAGTCCCCACCATTTTTTCGAATTGTCGTAGATACACAGATCTCTCATAGTCAATACCTCTCCAAACATGGGACAAACTTGTCTTGTTTCTTGGAATTTTAATGAGGCCAAAGTTCAAATCTATTATATATTTATCTCTCAGAATAATAACCCAGAAGGACTCATATTGTGTATGGATCCTCTACCACCATTTTACTAAAAGTGTTGAGTTCGTAAGTTTCAGTCTCCTAATACCCAATCCTCGCTCTTTCATTGGCCTAAATTTTTTTCCCAACTCACCAGATGAATTCTTTTCCTTCTTATGTCATCTCTGTATAAGAAATTTCTTATAATTATCTCTAGTTGCTTTTCAATTTTTTTTGGCATCTTAAATAAGAACATAAAATATACCGAGAGGTTGGACAAAGTAGATTTAATCAACGCATATCTTCCCCCCTAAGAAAGAGTTTAGCTTTTCAAGTGTTCAATTTCTTATCAAATCTCTCAACCACCAGATCCCAAATTGATCTTGAAAGCCTTGAAGCCACTAAGGGAATTTCCAAATAAGTATAAGGTAAGGACTCAACCCTACAACCTAATAAATGTGCCATTCTTGATACTACCATTTGTGGAAAGTCAATACCAATGAGCTTGGTTTTACTTAAATTAACTTTAAGTCAAGTTGATAACTCCACACTTTTCAAAAAAATCTATAGGCAAGTGATTTCTTTAACCGTAGGATCACATACTCTAATGGTATCATTAACATACTGTAAGTGTGATACTATAAGACTATTATTGTTAATATTAACATATGATATGATCATTTGCACTGTCAATCCATTAGGCATGACATTAAAGCTCTCAGCTACCAAAGTATATAAAAATGGTGAAAGAGGTTCCCCTTGTCTCAATCCTCTTGATCCTTTGAAAAAACGAGTTGCTTTGCTATTAACAAAAACTGAAAAATAGGTAGAAGACATGCAACCATCAATCCACAATCTCCATCTTGAACGAAAGCTCAGTTTAGCTATGATACTTTATAGTACCCCCAATCAACATTATCATATGCCTTCTCAAAGTCTAGCTTACAAATAAGGCCTGGTTTGTCATCCTTGATTATTGAGTGTATATTCTTGTGCAACCAAAATACTATCTATAATTTGCCTATCTTTCAAGAATGCTGATTGTGGTCCTTCAATAACTATGTGAATCACTTGGCGCAGTTTATTGGCTAAAATCTTTGCTATGATTTTATATAGACTATCAATAAGATTAATAGGCCGAATATCTTGATCTTTGCAATGATATTTTTCTTTGGAATTAAAGCAACAAAAGTGAAATTCATTGCAATATTAATTTTACCTCTCCAATAAATTTCTTACAATAATTGAACAATATCATCTTTCAAAATATCCCAAAAAGATTGAAAAAAAACTATTGGGTATCAATCCGGGCCTAGAGCCTTATCTATGCCTAGGCCAAAGACTGCGTCTCTAATTTCTTGCTTTTCAAATTTTTTTTCTAACCACAGAGTATGTTCTAACGGTAACCTAATAAAACATAGATCTTGAATAGATAGTTGAATCCCACCATCAGCCTCATAAGATTTCTTGAAATGATCAACCATGGCTCTTTCAACTTCTGATATGTTGTCACAGTTTATTCCTTCTATACACAAGTTTTGAATTGAGATACCACTTTTCCTTACATTAGCAATAGTATGAAAGAATCTCGTGTTTTTATCTCCCTCCTTGAGCCATTTCACAAGAGATCTTTGTCTCCTATGAATTTTTTGCAAATTAAGCAGTTGTTTATACGTAGCCACCCATAAGCTTTTGTCTTTGAATTGATCATGTGTTAGAGCACCTCCCATGAACTGAACATTATCTAACTCCTCTATATGAGACTTTGCTGCCCCAATTTTCAATTGTAAATCTCCCCAAACATTCATCTTTCATGTAATAATCCTTTGTTTCAATAGTTAGAGCTTCTTTGAAATTTGGAAACCTTCCAACCATCAATGGTAGTATTTGTCCAGAAATCTTCAATCATGTTGAGTAAAGGTATCTCTGATAGCCACGTCAATTCAAATCTAAACGGGGATGGTCGAGACAAGAACCCGTCATAGTTATGGAGAAGAGGGGCATGCTCAAAAGAAATTTTGGCAGGGCTTTCACACTTATTTTTGGGAAACGAGTAACAAAGTTAGAACAGAGAAGAAACCTGTCTAACCTTATCAAAATAAGATCGTGTAAATTATGATTGGACCAGGTATAATTAACCCCAGCAGAAAGAAGATAAATCAATTCATGGTGCTGTATAAAACCCTAAAATA